GAATGAATGGCTCCAGCGTCCGTGGAGGGACGCCCACCAGGCCACGGAACGGGGGAGCGGAGGGGGGATGCAGACAAGCACGTGTCCCACGGTCCCACGTGTTTGGAAATGAATGCCGAGCCCCCATAGACTGTGGGCATTCAGTTCCTCGCGTCCCGTGGGCCCAGCGTGAGGATTTTAACAGCTCGAGGGGCGTGGGCCAGGCCAACGAAGGACCGCACAACACACGCTCCCTACGCCTGTAGAGGGAGGCCTGTGAGTCGTACGTGGTCACGTCACTTTAAGAAAGCTTTCGAGAGAGACCAGCCCTGCCCCAGCTGGCGTGGCTCAGTGGATAGAGCGTCGGCCTGCAGACCGCAGGGTCCCGGTTCGATTCCGGTCAAGGGCATGGACCTCGGTTGCAGGCTCCTCCCCAGCCCGGGCCCTGGTCGGGGCTCATGCAGGAGGTGACCAATCATGTGTCTTTCTCACATCGATATTTCTGTCTCTCCCTCTCACTTCCCCTCTCGCTAAAAATCAATGGGAAGATATCGGAAGGTGAGGATTAGCAACAAAGAGAGAGAGAGAGAGAGAGAGAGAGAGAGAGACCAGCCCTGCATGGGGAGCCGGTGGCATGTGGGCTGTTTGGCAGGGGAGGGGAGGGGAGGGGAGGGGAGGGGAGGGGAGAGGAGGTCAGAGCAGAAGATGGGGACACGGGGGTGCAGGTGCCACACAGACCTGGGGCCGAGGCGTGTTGACTCACTCCGTCAACACGACAGTCCTGGGAGCGGCCCTGTCGGGATCCCTGTTTCACGGATAGAGAAACTGAGGCACAGAGAGGGCAGACGCTTGCCCGGAGTCACACAGGAGAAGCGGCAGAGCCGGGCTTCAGCCCAGGGGCTGGGCCAGCAGGCTGTGCTCCAAACCGCTCCCAAGCCCGCCGCTGGACGCCTAGACACGTAGCTGTGAAGGCGGGATTTTGTTGTCCTGGCTCCGAATTCGGCAGCAGATACATTAGATTAAAAAAAATAATAATAATCGTCGTAAGGAAGGTTGGAGCCAATCTGAGGGATGCAATGAGTGAGCAGGTGCATCTGTGCATGAATAACCATCTCATGCATTTGGCCTGTACATGCCAATGACGGTTGGTGTTCTACCAAGAGAGAACATGCCTTCTCCACGTAAGTCCATGGCCACTCACAGAAGTAAGGGTGTTATTATTGCCCTTGGACACAAAGAAAACCTCCGTTTCCCAAAGCGATGTCACAGGCCACATGCTCGCCAGTTAAGTCAGAAATAAATAACAGTGATAAAAAGCGGACTGCTTAACCGTTAAGAAAACATCTCTTAAAAGCACCACAGATCAAAGAGGAAAATCAAAACACAAAATAAAAACCGCTGAGAAAGCCATGAAAAGGGACGTATTTCATAGTAAGAGCTCGGTGTCACAGCTAACGCTGCCGTCAGAGGAAAATTTATAGCCTCGAGATGCCTTTTAGAAGAAAGACTTTAACTAAACGAACTAAGCATCACTCTGCATTAGGTTTAAAGGAAGGACACAGTTACCCAGGAAGAGGGAACTGACAAACACCAGGGCCACGTCGGGGAAACAGAAAACAAGACCAGCCAGAGAGGAGGCGTACTGACGAGAGAGTAAGTGCCGGCTAAAATATAAATCTCTCATGAGTGTGGTGTCGTTTTCTCTTCTTTTTTAAAAATAAAACCAAAACAATAAAGCTCAAAGGAGAAAAAAAAAAAAGAGGGAACGGCTACAGAAGAACATAAAATCATCAGGAGAAAATGTGTTTCTACCAAGTGGCGACACCGCTGAAACCCCTGAGGGGTGAAATCGCAGCGAATAAATTACCCCGAGACGCGGCAAACTGATTCCCAACAAACGACCGAAAAGCGGACGGACGAGGGGCCCGGGGGCCCTAAAAACGGGCACAGGCTCGGGGGACGGGGAGCTTCACCCTGACCTTTCACCTTCGAGGAGACAGCTCCCCGTCCCCGGGTCTGTCCCGGGACACAGAGGGGCAGGCGGCCCCCCTTCTGTATTCACCCCGCGCGCACACGCCTGGCGACAGGGCCCTGGTCCTCCGGCCCCGGGCGCTGTTATTCCGGGGGTCAGACCTCCAGGCAGAGGGGACAGTGCAGGTTTTTTTTAAATATATATTTTATTGATTTTTAACAGAGAGGAAGGGAGAGGGATAGAGAGTTAGAAAGATCGATGAGAGAGAAACATCGATCAGCTGCCTCCTGCACACTCCCTACTGGGGATGTGCCCGCAACCAAGGTACATGCCCTTGACGGGAATCGAACCTGGGACCCCTGAGTCCACAGGCAGATGCTCTATCCACTGAGCCACACCGGTCAGGGCGGGACAGTGCGGTTTTAATGGGTGCGGAGCGTTGGACCTGCACGGCGGGCGTGGGGTGGGGGTGGGGGTAGGGCTGGCTCCTGTCTGCTGTTCAACAAGCACACGCATCGGTGTCCTGGCCACAGACCCCTGACAAACGTGCAATGTCAGGGCAGAACACGGTTCGGGCGGGTCAAAGGGCATCCGCGTCTGCCTTTCACGGAAGTGGCCGTGGGGGCCCCCGTACGCGCTTTCCCACAGGAGCGCCTGGGGTGCGCCCACCCGGAGGGCGAGATCAGATGCTTTCGTATTTAGTAATCAGATAAGTAAAAAGTCCCAGCGCCTGGATTTGTATTTCTCTTATCATAATGCCGCTTATCAGCATCTTTTCATCCCTAAGACTGATCGGCATTTCCTTTCCTGGGAACTGCTTTTTCCAGACTCCGGCCGTTTCTCCCCGTGATTTACAAGAGCTGTGCAGCACGGCGATAAAATTAGCCCTGGCTCTTTGAAACGAGGGGCAGCTCTGCTCCCAGAAGGATTTCTGGTTCTTTTCTTGCTTTGCAAAATGTTTTTATTTTGTATGCTTTTCTCGTGGAGGCAGAACAGACACGTAACGAACTACATGCGTTTAAAGTGTACGATTTGGTCACTTTTGACACACGATGAGACCATTGCCACAGTCAAGGTCATGGACGTATCCCCCCCCGCCACACCTCGAGTTTCCTGTGTCCCACGGACGCCTCCCCAAAACTGTCCCCAGGCTCCCCCATCCCTAGGCGACCACTGAACTTGTCCCTCTACAGAGGTCTGCATTTTCTGGGTTTTATATGAGTAAAATAAGAGAGTTTGTACTCTATTTTGAGCCCTGCCGGTGCTCAGCTGGTTAGAGCACCATCCGGATACACCAAGGTTGCAGGTTTGATCCCCGTCTGGATACACCAAGGTTGCAGGTTTGATCCCCGTCAGGGCTCATACAAGAATCAATCCACGAATGAATGCATCAATAAGTGGAACAACAAACCTCTCTCTCTCTCTCTCTCTCATCAATAAAAAATAATAATTACTATTTTGAGATTCACCCAGGCTATCATGCACATTAATCATTTATTTCTTTTTTTAAAATATATTTTTATTGATGTCAGAGAGGAAGGGAGAGAGAGAGAAACATCCATGATGAGAATCACTGATCGGCTGCCTCCTGCACACCCCACACTGGGGATCAAGCCCGCAACCCTGGCACATGCCCTGACCGAGAATCTATCTCTGACTTCCTGGTTCATAGATCCATGCTCAACCACTGATCCATGCTGGCCAGGCAGCAAGTGAGTCATCTTTGTAAGGAATGCTTCTTGCTTTTTGGCTCCTTAAGTTGATTAAATTTCCTGGCACAATCATGCTCCTTCAAATATTTAGTTTTCTTACATCTACCTTTCTTTTCTCTTCAGTGATTTTTGTTACCCCTAGCTGGCAGAAATTATGGTTTAGAAGCAATACAATAAAGTCACTACCACTAACAAACAAACAAAAAATGCTTAAAACTCCCTCTGAGGTCAGTGTCAGAATATCCCTGGAGGGTGAAGCTCTTTTAATAGGGAAAATTTGCTGAAACCCCATCTGAAGAGA